CCCCCCCCCCGCCAGCCACGGGGCTCCCCACGTGCTGCTGGTGGCGGCAGCTGGGGAACTAAGTTCCAGCAGCAGCAGGTCCCCCCAGTGCTGAGGGGAGAGCAGATCATAAGGGGCAATCTCCCCATTTGGAAGAAACAAGCAGGCCCCCAGCAGGAGGGTGAGACGTGGGAGTGTCTCTTGAAAAGCCAGGCAGCGGGTCACCCCATGCACGGAGCTGTGAGCACACGGTGGGGAGCTGGGACCCTGCAACCCGGCTTCTTACCCTGCCTCTGAGAGGGGAACGGGGAGTGTTACCTGCTCTGACAAAACCTGAATGTGTGCCCCCCGTGTCTGTTGTGTTAGTGTGTGCGCTGCGTGGATTGTGGATTTCCCCCGTGTCTGTTGTGTTAGTGTGTGCGCTGCGTGGATTGTGGATTTCCCCCGTGTCTGTTGTGTTAGTGTGTGCGCTGCGTGGATTGTGGATTTCCCCCGTGTCTGTTGTGTTAGTGTGTGCGCTGCGTGGATTGTGGATTTCCCCCGTGTCTGTTGTGTTAGTGTGTGCGCTGCGTGGATTGTGGATTTCCCCCGTGTCTGTTGTGTTAGTGTGTGCGCTGCGTGGATTGTGGATTTCCCCCGTGTCTGTTGTGTTAGTGTGTGCGCTGCGTGGATTGTGGATTTCCCCCGTGTCTGTTGTGTTAGTGTGTGCGCTGCGTGGATTGTGGATTTCCCCCGTGTCTGTTGTGTTAGTGTGTGCGCTGCGTGGATTGTGGATTTCCCCCGTGTCTGTTGTGTTAGTGTGTGCGCTGCGTGGATTGTGGATTTCCCCCGTGTCTGTTGTGTTAGTGTGTGCGCTGCGTGGATTGTGGATTTCCCCCGTGTCTGTTGTGTTAGTGTGTGCGCTGCGTGGATTGTGGATTTCCCCCGTGTCTGTTGTGTTAGTGTGTGCGCTGCGTGGATTGTGGATTTCCCCCGTGTCTGTTGTGTTAGTGTGTGCACTGCGTGGATTGTGGATTTCCCCCGTGTCTGTTGTGTTAGTGTGTGCACTGCGTGGATTGTGGATTTCCCCCGTGTCTGTTGTGTTAGTGTGTGCACTGCGTGGATTGTGGATTTCCCCCGTGTCTGTTGTGTTAGTGTGTGCACTGCGTGGATTGTGGATTTCCCCCGTGTCTGTTGTGTTAGTGTGTGCGCTGCGTGGATTGTGGATTTCCCCCGTGTCTGTTGTGTTAGTGTGTGCACTGCGTGGATTGTGGATTTCCCCCGTGTCTGTTGTGTTAGTGTGTGCACTGCGTGGATTGTGGATTTCCCCCGTGTCTGTTGTGTTAGTGTGTGCACTGCGTGGATTGTGGATTTCCCCCGTGTCTGTTGTGTTAGTGTGTGCACTGCGTGGATTGTGGATTTCCCCCGTGTCTGTTGTGTTAGTGTGTGCGCTGCGTGGATTGTGGATTTCCCCCGTGTCTGTTGTGTTAGTGTGTGCACTGCGTGGATTGTGGATTTCCCCCGTGTCTGTTGTGTTAGTGTGTGCACTGCGTGGATTGTGGATTTCCCCCGTGTCTGTTGTGTTAGTGTGTGCACTGCGTGGATTGTGGATTTCCCCCGTGTCTGTTGTGTTAGTGTGTGCACTGCGTGGATTGTGGATTTCCCCCGTGTCTGTTGTGTTAGTGTGTGCGCTGCGTGGATTGGGGAGAGGGAGGCTTTTTGGTTGCAGTTAAATATTTTTGTGCAACTCCATGTGTTAATGCAGCAATGCTGCTTAATTTGAGTTGTTCACTTTGAAATTCTTTTTTCCG